ACTGCCTGCAGCCCCCTGTAATATTGCAGCCTAGATCTAATTGCCTTCTAAGGCAGGGGTCCCCAACCCCCGGTCCGTGGACCAGTACTGGGCCACAGCACGCCACCAACCAGTCCACACAAACAAGCAAAGCCCCATCTTTGGGATGGAGGCAGCACACAAAACCGGTCCGCGGAAAAACCTTTCTCCAGGGAACTGGTCCCTGGTGTCCAAAAGATTGGGGACCTCTGTTCTAAGATGTCTATCTAACAAAATGAAATTCAATGGTTAGAAAAGTAAGGTTCTACATTTAGGCAAGAAAAACCAAATGTACAGGTATAGTATATTGGGTACCTTGCTCAATAGTAGTAACTGTGAGAGGGATCTCGGAGTCCTAGTGGACAATCACTTAAATATGAGCCAGCAGTGCTGCAGCTGCCAAAAAAGCCAACACAGTGCTAGGCTGCATTAACAGAGGGATAGAATCAAGATCACGTGAAGTATTAATACCACTTTACAATGCCTTGGTAAGGCCACACCTGGAATACGGCATCCAGTTTTGGTCACCACGATGTAAAAAAGATGTTGAGACTCTAGAAAGAGTGCAGAGAAGAGCAACAAAGATGATTAGGGGACTGGAGGCTAAAACATACAAGGAACGGTTGCTGGAATTGGGCATGTCTAGTTTAACAAAGAGAAGGACGAGGGGGGACATGATAGCAGTGTTCCAATATCTCAGGGGCTGCCCCAAAGAAGAGGGAGTCAAGCTATTCTCCAAAGCGCCTGAAGGCAGGACAAGAAACAACGGGTGGAAACTAATCAAGGAGAGAAGCAACCTAGAACTAAGGAGAAACTTCCTGGCAGGGAGAACAATTAACCAGTGGAACTGCCTGCCTCCAGAAGCGGTGAATGCTCCAACACTGGAAGTTTTTAAGAAGGGACTGGACAGCCATTTGTCCGAAATGGTATAGGGTTTCCTGCCTGAACAGGGGGTTGGACTAGATGAACTCCAAGGCCCCTTCCAACTTTATTATTATTATTATTATTATTATTATTATTATTATTATTATTATTATTATTATTATTATTATTATTATTATTATTATAAATTGTNCAACACTGGAAGTTTTTAAGAAGGGACTGGACAGCCATTTGTCCGAAATGGTATAGGGTTTCCTGCCTGAACAGGGGGTTGGACTAGATGAACTCCAAGGCCCCTTCCAACTTTATTATTATTATTATTATTATTATTATTATTATTATTATTATTATTATTATTATTATTATTATTATTATTATTATTACAAATTGCCTTGAATATGGAACATTTCTTATTTCCGTTCCATCTGTGAAAATGCCAAAGCTGGCTTTTGATGATAGTTCAGACATTCCCAGGGCACCAGAGTGAGGAAGCAGAGAGACCTTTTTCAATGTCAGAAGTATCCGTGGGAAGGGAGGGGGTCAAAAAAGTCAAGATGGAAGCCACACTCCTTTTTGCCGTGCAGTGCTTTGGAGTTTCTGGGTCTTCCCTTCAGCGTACAAAGCCTTGCACAACTATAGTATTTCCACAAGGGTCTACTTTGTCACGAGTAAAACGTCTCTTTTAAATTTGTGATATTTCTCTACTCATAATGGGTTCTCTTTTACAGGTCTGCGGCTTGCTCCTCTATTATAGCTTAATATCTCCCCTAGTTTTCATGGTTTTAATGTTTACATTTTTTGTCAATTTAGTGTGGATAACAGACTAAAAAAAACCACATATCTAACTATGCATAACAGTAGTCTCAACTTACGAAGGTAAATTGCGCTGGCCATTTTAGTTGTAAATCAGGATAATTGTAAAGGACGTCACTATGTGACAACGTCTGATTTTATGACCTTTTTCTGTGATGGTCATAAAGTGAACATGATGGTTGTTTGGTCAATGCCACCATTGTTACCAATGGGGCCTTTTTGAAAGATAACAGAAGTAAATGCCTGTTTCCATCAAATCATACTAAATTGTGGTCATTGAGTAGATTTACAACCTCTTCTCCTTCTTCTTCCCCTTCCTCTTCTCATTCTCCTTCTCTTTGTACTTCTCCTTCTCCTTCAGCTTCTCCTTCTCCTTTCCCTTCTCCCCCCTTTTCCTCCTCCTCCTCCTCCTCCTCTTCCTCCTCCTCCTCACCACCACCACCACGTTTGCTTCCATCTCTCCCTAACCCCTGATTCAGATGCTCTTAAGTCCTCCGTATTTCTTCCAGTGTCTAAATAATATTTCCCCCATTCTGCCAACAGTGTCCGAAAACCTCAAGCGGTGTACAATCTGTCTTGGAGGGAAGGCTGTGGCCCGACAGAAACTGGGCACAGAGAGCAAAAATGGGGCTGGAAGTGAGGACAAGGCATTTCACGGCTGCCTGATTGTCTGCAGATTCGAGAATGAGAGCAGAGAGCACTTCAGTTCAGCCGCCTTTTAACCCGGCCAGTTAAACTCTGGCTTTTTGCTGTGGATGCTCTGATGCTCCATTTGCACTGGGGGGGTCATCGCTTCGGATGCCAGGAACGTGCGAGCTCCCTTGACCGAGTGTTCTCATTGATACTGACAAATAGCCAACACTCCAGAAGACAGGCTTAGGATACAGGAGGACCTGGACAGACTTGAACACTGGGCGCTATCTAACAAAATGAAATTCAATGGAGAAAAAAGTAAGGTTCTACATTTAAGCAAGAAAAACCAAATGCACAGGTATAGTAGGGGGTACCTTGCTCAATAGTAGTAACTGTGAGAGGGATCTCGGAGTCCTAGTGGACAATCACTTAGATATGAGCCAGCCGTGTGCTGCAGCTGCCAAAAAAGCCAACACAGTGCTAGGCTGCATTAACAGAGGGATAGAATCAAGATCACGTGAAGTGTTAATACCACTTTACAATGCCTTAGTAAGGCCACACTTGGAATACTGCATCCAGTTTTGGTCACCACGATGTAAAAAAGATGCTGAGACTCTAGAAAGAGTACAGAGAAGAGCAACAAAGATGATTAGGGGACTGGAGGCTAAAACATATAAGGAAAGGTTGATGGAATTGGTTATGTCTAGTTTAACGAAGAGAAGGATGAGGGGGGACATGATAGCAGTCTTCCAATATCTCAGGGGCTGCCACAAAGAAGAGGGAGTCAAGCTATTTTCTAAAGCGCCTGAAGGCAGGACAAGAAGCAACGAGAGTATCTCAGGAGTATCTGTGGGAAGGGAGGAGGTAAAAAAAGTCAAGATGGAAGCCACACCTCTTTTTTGCATGCAGTGCTTTGGAGTTTCTGGGCCTTCCCTTCAGCGTACAAAGCCTTGCACAACTATAGTATTTCCACAAGTGTCTACTTTGTCACGAGTAAAACATCTCTTTTAAATTTGTCATATTTTTCTGCTCATAATGGGTTCTCTTTTACAGGTCTGCGGCTTGCTCCTCTATTATAGCTTAATATCTCCCCTAGTTTCATGGTTTTAATGTTTACATTTTTTGTCAGTTTACGGCGGACAGCTTATAACAGACTAAAAACACACACACTGAACAATGCATAAAAGCACTCTTCAATTTACGAATTAATTGAGCTGGCCATTTTAGTTGTAAATCATGATAATTGTAAAGGAGGTTACTATGTGACAATGTCTGATTTTATGACCTTTTTCTGTGGTGGTCATAAAATGAACATGATGGTTGTTTGGTCAATGCCACCACCATTGTTACCTATGGGGCGTTTTTGCTGGATACCAGAAGTAAATGCCTGTTTCCATCAAAAGCCTACTAAATTGTGGTCATTGAATGCATTTACAATCTCTTCCCCTTCTCCTTTCCCTCTTCCTCCACCTTCTCCTTCCTTTCTTCCTCCCTCCCTCCATTTTTCTTCTTCCTCCTCCTCATCCCCTCTTCCTTCCTTCCTTCCTTCCTTCCTTCCTTCCTTCCTTCCTTCCTTCCTTCCTTCCTTCCTTCCTTCCTTCCTTCCTTCCTTCCACCCTTCTTCTGCTCCATATCATTCTTATTATCCACTCTCCAGTTCTCAGCAACTACTTAAACATTACCAGAAATCTACAACAGTTCTCTCACATTATCTCTTTGCATTCCTTTAATGCTTAGTAACTAAAACCAAAGCGATTCTCAATAAAGGGGTCTTGCCCTTTTGTTCTTTTGTGAGTTTGCAGTTCCATCCAGGGGTGAGGTTGTTTTAGACCAGGGGTCTCCATCCCCTGGGCCATGGCCCACTAACGGCCAGGGGTCCATTTGGAACTGGGGCATTGAAGCAGCAGGTGTGCATGCCTGCCCACGCAAGCCCCACTCACCCGAGTGGTGCGTGCCGGCGCTTGCAGCCCCTCTCTTGTGCCCACTGCTGATACAAATGAAGCTGTGCATATATGCACGCATGCCTGCACCTCATTCAAAACCATTCCCCTCCCCCCACGCTGGGCCACCAATCAGGAAAGTTTGGGGAGAGCTTTTTCACAGGGTCATCAAAAAAAGTTTGGCAATAACCTTTGCTCCAGAGAGAGAAAAACTCGAAACAAAAATAAGTCCAAAAAATGGACCACAAGGGGGGTGCCCACAAAATTGTGTAATCACATTAAGTCATGTCATACCTTGCTCAAAGCAACCCAATTGATTTTTCTGCCTATGTAAATAGAATAATGGTCCGCGGACTGTTGGGAAGCGGTCCACAGAAGTGGCAGGCGAGGGTGTGAAGCTTCATTTGTGTATGTGCACAATCTTGGTTGCATGCTTGAAACCATCCTCCCGGCCACTGCCGTCACCAGTCCTTGGCACAAGAAGTCACTAAATGAATGGTTGTAAGTTAAGGTCTGGCTGTCCTATCCTAAGCTTAAGCAAATGGAATCCAATTTTTGCTTCTGACACTTTAATCAGCTTATTTATTGTGTTGCTTGGAGCTATAAAACGTAGGGTGTGTGGAATAGAGTGTCATAAACACGTAACTGTATTGGGGGATAAAAAAATTCAGGTAGTCCTCGACATATGACCGTAATGGAGCCGACCCATAAGTCATGATAGTGATAAAACAGGTTGGTCTGATCATGTGACCCAAACCGATTTTATGACCTTTTTTGCGGAGGTTGTTAAATGAACTTAGCGATCATAAAGCGAGTCATTAAGTGAATCAGCATCCAATTCAGCTTCATCCTGGTTGTGATTTCTTCTCTTTGCGGTCTTGTTCCTTTGCAGTTGGCACCTGGGGTCAATCCTGGGCAAGGCCTGGGCATTGAAATCATCGCTACGTTGCAGCTGGTGTTGTGCGTACTGGCCACAACGGACAAGAGGCGAACGGACCTGTCCGGATCAGCACCATTGGCCATCGGTCTTTCCGTTGCCTTGGGTCACCTGCTGGCGGTGAGTATGAATTCGGGAGCTATATTGGTCTGTTTGCTAAACCATAACGAACCAAAACAACCTGGGGGTTGGACTAGATGACCTCCAAAGTCCTTTCCAACTTTTATTATTATTATTATAAACATAATATCCTGGCTCAATCCAGTTGCGCGTGTGGGTCCTTTCAGATCAGGAAACAGGTGCCACAAGGATTACTGGAACTTTATTCTTAAAGGCAGTCCTCGACTCACAATCCTTTGCTTAATTCAACATTACAACGGCATTGAAAAAAGGGACTTAGGACCTTTTTCCCCCACGCTTACAACCGTTGCAGCATCCCCCACAGTCACGTGATCAACATTCAGATACTTGATTCATATTTATGATGGTTGCAGTGTCTAGGGGTCATGTGATCCCCTTTTGTCACCTTCTGCTAAGCAAAGTCAACGGGGAAGCCTGATTCACTTAACAACCATGTTACTAACAACAACTGCAGTGATTCAGGTGACTGACTTATTTTACAACAGTTAAGGCATATAACCACAATGCACAGGGTCTGTGACAGTTGTATGAGGGAAATTCGGAAATAAACTTCCGTTTGGTTATCAATGACAGACACTCACAGATACAGAACTTTTATTATACACATTAGAAAACTACGACATTGCATTACTTTTTGACATAAGCGCCATTCAAACTGAGGCATTTGTCATAACCTTTTTTTTTAAGTTGGAAGGGATCTTGGAGGTCATCTAGTCCAACCCCCTGCTCAGGCAGGAAGCCCTATACCATTTTGGACAAATGGCTGTCCAGTCTCTCCTTAAGACATGGCTTTTTCAACAAGCGGGTCTGGCCTAGGGAGAATTTTAAATAGGGATAATTTTAATTCGAATCTTAATTAACTATACAGCGACAAATATTTGGTTTTTAATTGGTTTTATGGGGAATGGCGTTTGTGTGTTTTAATATGCTGTGAGCCGCCCTGAGTCCTATAGGGAGAAGGGCGGCATATAAGTTTAAANTGGCTTTTTCAACAAGCGGGTCTGGCCTAGGGAGAATTTTAAATAGGGATAATTTTAATTCGAATCTTAATTAACTATACAGCGACAAATATTTGGTTTTTAATTGGTTTTATGGGGAATGGCGTTTGTGTGTTTTAATATGCTGTGAGCCGCCCTGAGTCCTATAGGGAGAAGGGCGGCATATAAGTTTAAAAATAAAAAAAATAAAAAGTGTTGGCGCATTCACCGCTTCTGGAGGCAGGTTGTTCGACTGGTTAATTGTTCTAACTGTCAGGAAGTTTCTCCTTAGTTCTAGATTGCTTCTCTCCTTGATGAGTTTCCATCCGTTGCTTCTTGTCCTGCCTTCAGATGCTTTGGAGAATAGCTTGACTCCCTCTTCTTTATGGCAGCCCCTGAGATATTGGAACACTGCTATCCTGTCCCCCCTCGTCCTTCTCTTCGTTAAACTAGACATTAAACATCTTACAAGGTTTGAAATTCCTTAGTCGTCGTCGCTCGGCGCCAAATCTGGGCTATACAGGTGGGATCAAAAACAACCCAATGGAACTGCTTCAAAAGTTCTTGGGCGCGTCTGGCGGTGTGCGGGTGAGCATTGTTGTGGACCAACACCACACCAGAAGTGGTGCCATAGAAAATCCTGCCAAATGTGAAGAGGCCAAAGGAGTACGGTTAGTGAAGTTCATGGAGCTTGGTTAAACCATCAGTTCAGAAGTCTACTGTGAAACGTTAGGAAAACTCAGATGAGCCATCCGTAACAAGCGTGGGGGCCTGCTGACTTCCGGTGTGGTGTTGGTTCACGACAATGCTCACCCGCACACCGCTAGACGCACCCAAGAACTTTTGAAGTCGTTCTGTTGGGATGTTTTTGATCACCTCCCCTTATAATCCAGATTTGGCAGTGAGTGACTACTACTAAGGAATTTCAAACCTTGTTAGATGTTATGACAAATGCCTCAGTTTGAATGGTGCTTATGTCAAAAAGTAATGTAATGTTGTAGTTTTCTAACGTGGATAATAAAAGTTCTGTATCTGCAAGTGTCTGTCATTGATAATCAAACAGAGGTTTATTTCCAAATTGCCCTTATATGTCAAGGACTAACCTTGTTATTGGATTAACCCATTTTCCGGATTAATGCGATATGCTGAATCATAAATTAACCAAACATACTGGGTTAATTTCGTATATTAAACCTATAAAATTTGACCATAGTCAACACTCAAGTTTAGCATGTTGTGTGAAGGTAGTCTCTAGGCTTTCATGCACCTAGTTATGCCCACTGTACAAAACTAACCATAAGATTATTTTAAAAAAATAGATTTATGCACAAATAAGAATATAGAAAAGGATTTTTTTAAAAAAAACAGAGCTAAGAAATAGTTAAAAAAGATTTAAACACAATACAACTACCTGCAGAAGTAGAAGAACATTTTAAAAAACTAAGAGCTAACAAGTAGTTAAAATTAAAAACAGCATAAGATTTATACGTAGAAGAACATAAAGAAGAAAATTTGAAAGAACTAAGAAATAGCTGAGGTAAAAAAATAACCATAAGATTTATACAAGTAGAAATAAGAACATAGAGAAGAGGTTTTGTTTTTTTTAAAAAAAGAAATTAAGATAAAGAAAAAATAAGATTTATGCATAGATAAATAAGAATATAGAAGAGAGGAATTTTTTTAAAAAAACAAAGAGCTAATAAGTAGTTAAGATAAAAAAACATACAACTTAAACACAGAACTACATATATAGAAAAGAAATTTTTCAAAAAACTAAGACATAGTTAAGATTATAAAAACATAAGATTTATACATACAAGAATAAGAACATAGAAAATAAGAAAATTGTAAAGAGCTAAGAAATAATTAAGTTTTTAAAAAGTTATACAATTTATACACGTGGGAATAAGAACATAGAGAAGAGGATTTTTTAAAAAAAAAAAACCTCTAAGAGCTAAGAAATAAATAGTTAATGTAAAAAAACCCCATAAGATTTATACACAAAGGAGTAAGAACATAGAAATAGAACATAAGGATAGCAAAGGGATAGTAGATTAAATAAGAATAGAAATGAATGGAAAATAGAATAGGATAGGAAATTATATTTTGCACTGTAAGAGTGTTGTATGGAAAAATAAAGTGCTGTCTGGATTTTGTACCATATTAAGTAAAACTCTAACATAGGCCAGGTCTGTTACCAAAGCGACAGAAGTCAAAACATACGTTAAGTCCAAAACAAGCACAAAGGATATGGAAGCGGCTCAAACTGATGCCACAATAATTCACGCGAGTATAAAGGGAGGAGATACAGCACAGGCTTGCAAGATTCAGTTACGGTATCCCCTCTCAATAAACGTGGTCTTTAGCTCTCAATTGTGGAATTGATTCCTGATGTGGTTTATTTGGTGGGGACTGGCACGATTTTTGAAAATGTTATCAAAAGGAGAGAATATCTGAAGCTGAGAGTTGAACGGTGGGGTCCTAGATGGTGCTCTCTGAGCTGGGTGGTTTTCTTGCAGACGTTTCATGACTCAACTAGGTAACATCATCAGTGCTAGGAGGGGATGGAGTTTGCAGAGAGGAGGAGGAGGAGGAGGAGGAGGGGGGGGGGGAGAGGGGGAGGGGG